GAAAAAATAGTTAATAATACCTCTTCAAAGGATTGTTCAGGCCACTTATTCCAATCAGCCCTCGTTGTGCCTGGATCGTTCCTTCTGTAAATCGTCTGTTTCTGAGGCGCAGAACCCATCTCAGCGTTCAATTAAACTGAAGAACTCTGAGCATCATATGCTAAGTAAAACTTTGTTTAAAGCTTGCGGCAGACACATTATTAAACGGTAAGGTTGTGACACACACGTCCCACTTTTATAAGGTCTTCTGTAAACCAAAGTGACAAGAGTTAAAAAAACTGAAACCGTCTTCAAGCGATTTTGATGATTTATCATTACTCTCTTCTTTATCATAACAAACTTAAGTCGTATATTCTCTAACTAGCTCCACTTCAGGGCAAAACTCGGCTTGTGAGATTGATTAGTTAACCGTCATGGCCAGAGGAAGAAGATCTTAAACCCTTATTGCTAAGCTAGGCTGGTAATAAGGCAGACGATTCCGTCACATAGCTATAAAAACCGGATTTCGAAAGAAGACAATAACAACAGAAAATTTAGTAAAATAAGTAGGACTAACTAGACTCCACAAGATATACAAAGAAAGAAGCATTTGACGACGGATTCACTAACGGAGGATGCTGGCTCTAACCAAATCCGACAAAGTTCGTACAAGGTTAAGTTTTAAGTTTCTACAAAAAACATTCGTGATAAGACACAACTTTTTTTTCTGCTCCAAGGGTTTTACCCCACGGTTCAGTTCGTAAGTTGCTTATTGCAGCCCTATATCACATCACTACAGTAGTGGAAATATTAACCGAACTACAGAAGGTATTGCATCAAGTAAATATCGAATCACCACAAAACTGATTCTTGACTTTTCAAATTATTCAGGTGCTCTTTTAATCAAACGTATTTTTACTTCGCTCATTCTGAAAAAAGGTCTTACAGCGTTGAAATGTTTTGAATTTCTTTTTTAATGTCAAATTCTTGAACATATTCTATCTACCGTTTATATTTGTTATTCTTCCACAATCGTTAACACTACTTTAGCGCACAGCATCGCACATGTACATTACTGCAGAACTATTATTTATTGAAGGTAGAGCTTGTTGAATTTGCTGCCACTTTTTTAGCGTATTTTCTGGAATCAAGCTAAAGGCGGAATTTATTAAATATTAGTGCATTAATGCGACGCGTGATAGTTCATCGCTGGAAGAACGCTTCTGCGATACAATGATCTGATTTGAGTTACTTCACTTGAGTGGTGTACATCACCATTTGTTGCTGTTCTGTCTTGAAGAAAAATAAATAATTTCCAAAATTTCTATAAAATTTTTGTGTCCAGTTTTCTTAAGTGCTAATGGTATTTTGAATGGTACGGAAAATGATTTATAGAGAGACATGTATTTTGCTTTTTGACAGTAATGCGTATACAACAAAAATATATTTTTTTAGAAGATCGTCGTTGTTAAATTTTTCTACTATCTGCATAACAAAATAAATAAACCTTATGTACGCAATTAAAAGGCTAGAAAAACAGGAACTATACTGCAGTGACTGAGAATCGTCAAAAAAAACAAGACAAAGAAAGACGGTTTTGTCTTATAGACTTCGCCTGGTATATGGATACGGACTCTTAAGAAAACTTAAGCGACACTCAAAACCCTTTAAAAAATCTATTACACTCTCTCAAAAACGATGTCTATAATCAAAATGTTGACAGTACAACATATAAATGAAAATGATACCACTAAGTATGTGGATTTCCCTAACAAATAGCTCAAAATATTCAAGAAAAAAAAAATCTTTTTTTTTTTGTACTGAGAGAAAAGAGAACTTTTTTTTAGGTGCTAATATCTGGTAGTCTTAAGATTCGTTAAACTTTAATGGTGTTTAGAAGAAATATGGAATTTTGAAGTTGCTACATTCTTCTATATAATTTTCTTGGTCTGTGCCACTTGAATTTTAAGACAGTTGGTTTTTTTGAAAAGGTTTTTACTATGATGGCAGTAGGCCACGGTTAAAATTTCTACATGAAACGTTACTTGAAAAAGATAATTCAGATTAATTTATGGCTTTAATTTTCACTTTCTCTTTAGCACTAAAAACTGCATTTTTAGATTATCATTTTGGAAGCGAATCTAAAATAAAAATTCAGATTAATTGTTCGTTTTAGTGTTATTTTGGAGAAGCTGATTACGGGGTATTTTAACAATCAAAATGTTAAAAATAAAGAACATCTGCAGGTACGTGCACAAAGTTTTTTGTATTGGCAAACAGTTTTTTGTCACTGTTTTGCTTTTATATAGTCTTAACTGCTGCATCATCAGAATATTTGTTGGTGAAGGTTTTGCATATTTTTGCGCTCTTGAACTTCCACTGTTTCTGTTTGCTGTATATTTTAGGCATGATTTTTAATCGTTTTACTAAAAACTTGATGTGTTGAACAAGTTTCATGTGGTTAAAATTGTGTCTTATTTATTTGCTCATACTCTTACATCTGTTCCTGGTCTCTGTTCATTGATTTCCATAAAAAAAATTTTTTTTTTGTATGAAAATGTGAGGTAACTGTATTTCAAGGGGTGGTAAATAGTCAGCTATAAGGTTTTTGAAACGTAGCCTAACAATTTCTTTTTTGTTGGAATGTATTGCCAGTTTTTCTATTATATGTGTATGCAAAAATTTAAAATACTTTAATTGATATATGGTAACAATTTCTTGTGAAGTTTGATTCCCTTCTACAGATCCTTTTCGATGGCTTCTGAAATTTACAGCCTCCAAAAGCTGCTGGTCATTTTTGTCTCGGTTTAACTTCTGTTTTGCCTCGCTATTGTCTGAAACGAAATTTGTGGCCATAAGAACCACTTTTTCATTCGTATATAAATCGCAGTAATGACTAAATTTCTTTTTAATTGTCTTATTGAAAGAATTCAGACGTTTTAGAATAACTTTTTGTCATCTGAAGAAATGTCTTCTTTCAAATGATTATTTTTTTGTTTGTTTGTAACTAAGATTATTTTTTGTTACATACAACATTAGTTGATTAGAAAACATTGATTTAAGACGATTACCACAGCTAATATTGCTTTTTATCTACCAACTTATTTTGCTCAAATGTATAAGCCAGTTTACGTAATAGATTTTTTTTTTTGGGAGATAATGCGAATATCATTTTTTATAATAATATTAAGAATTAAATAGATTAGAGCTAAAAGTTTGATAGAATTTTAGTTATTTTATTTTGTTTCTAGAAAACTGCAAAAAACAGTCAGAGGGGCTAATCACTTCTGCTACAATAGCTTCTGCATTCTATAGTATCAGTAGACAATGGCTTATATGCAAAGAATACCAGAAACGCCACTTTTCAAAGAACGTTATTTATTTGTGCTCATTATTTAAATGAAAGATGATAAAAAAGAAGATGCAAAAATGAAAATTTTGAAAAATTTTTGCGAGAATTGTGTCAAAAAATTAATTTGGTTGTTAGATGCTGAAAAATAAACTGAGGTACCGCAACCAATACTATTTTCGTATCATTTGCTATGAAACGATAGTCAGATATATGTATAACTATTGAATTTAAAGACTGTTATAGTGTCTTTAATAGTTAGGCCGTCTTAAGACTTTAGCAAGCTAAATAATTGCTGGTTATGTTTGCGCAGTAAACAGAAAAACTGGTTTGTTGTTCTTGAACGTCGAAGTTCAAAAAACATTAAAATGCTCATCCTTTTCCCTCGGAGTAACTGTGAAGGGGAAAAAAAATTTATTTTCTGATCAAAAGCTGAAAAAACATATACAAGTTTTTTGGGGGCAATAAAAGAAAGTCCTCTGCATCAGAAAATCTAAAGCTGGTTTACTTTTTCTGTTTTGGTATTGCTTGAAACTGTACTCAATAAGCAACAGTTTTGAAGTGTAACTTTGAACCTCTTTCTTTTGAATACTTATTAGAAATGCATTTAGAAAAGATTAACGTATAAAGTATGTTGAAAGGTGAAAAAGATTTGATATGTTCAACCAATCAGTATTTTTTACGCTAAAGTTGTTATCATTAGTGAGTGTGTAATTCTTTTTGTTTACCTTATGTTTATGGTGATTCAAAAAAAAAAAAAAGTGGGTTTAGTATTTTTTCAAAGTGAAAAAAAAGACAGAAAAATAAAGATCAGCAACAAAAGAAATTTTTTTAAACATTTTATTACTGTTGATCTTTGGTGATCAAAAAATTGTTATTAATTTTTTTTTTCTTTAAACGGTTTGATTACTTGAAAAATGTTTAGGTTTCTTCTTTCAATTCACTTTTTTGTTGCTGTTGCAGTTGTTTGTTTGCTAACTGCCAAATCAGAAAGTTTATTTTAGTCAGTTCACAGAATTATTGTCAATTTTTAATTGGCTTTTTTTGCAACACTGTTTTTCAATTTGTCAACAGATGAATTGATAAAAACGCATAAATTGAAGATTTTCTTGAAAGAAAGGTTTTTGAAGTATTCAAAAAGATTTTGGACTATAATAGATTATTGTATGATAGTAATATCTGCTTTTCAAAAATCTATCTGTTGTTACCGGTAGTGGTGGTGATGTTGATGATTAAGGAAATAAATATGTAATCTAAGATTACAGACCTACACGTTGTTGTAAACAGAATGTCCATTAATCGATAGGTTTATTAGCTGTTGAAAAAAAAAAAAAAAA